TTCTAACATAATTTGAGGATTTTTTTCTCTGTAGTTAAAAAGATTCTGTGGTTTTTGTTGTTGTTGTTGTTGTTTGTTTATTTCACAAAAAGGGCCTCATGAAGACAAAGAAAAGACAAAGAAAAGTCACATTCTCTAGTCCATTATGGACTAACTTATGGATTAACAGAACTCTGAGCTGGTAGTCACAAATATTTATTAGTTGTACTTTCTTGATTAAATTGCATTATATGAAATTAAATTTTATTCTTTTGCTGTTATTATTTTTTTTTTGTCATTTTTAACACAGGCACTCGCTATGGAATCCTGGAAGGCATTGAACTTGCTATGTAGAGGTCTCATAAAGAAGCATCTGTTTCTGCCTACTGAGTACTGGAATTAAAGTCATACACGACCACTCTAGTTATATTTCACTCTTTATTAGCTTTATTCTCTCAACATCCATATGTGTATAGAAATATGACAGTTTTATCTGGGCAGCAGTGGCACATGCCTTTAATCCCAGCACTCAGAGGGCAGAGGCAGGCAGATATTTCTGAGTTCAAGGACAGCCTGTTCTTTAGATAGAGTTAGGTATAAGACAGCCCCAAAGCAACAGAAAAACCCTGCCTCAACAACAACAACAAAAAAAAAAAAAAAACACAGAAAAGAAAGAAAGAAAGAAAGATGACAGTTTTATAATCTAAGCCTGTCTATTGTACATAGAAATCAGAATCTTGGTTTATTGATTTGGAAATGGTACAGCAAAATATATTAAATGGACATTGAATAACCTTCACAGTATTTGTTACATGAGTAAATTCATAAACAATTCAATCACAGTTATCTGTCTTCGTGAATGACTAAGGATCAGATAGTACAACACTCCTTTCCTAAGTAGTAAGTAGTTGTGTTTACTTAAGTTCTATTTTGAATGAGATAACAAAGCTTCACAGTGAAAATATGAAGAAGAGGAATTGTTCTAGTCTCCTAAATCCATTAGCTAATAAAGGAGAGCTCTGTAAATGTTCTTACGGTCTATCAGACTGTCAAGTGTCATCATAAGGATCAGAAACATTGCAGCTAATAAGTTTTGCTGAGTTCAAAGATTTTTTTCTCTTTGAAGTACTTTGTTCTCAATAATAGATCCTTACAGACCATTTATCTCCTGTCTCCATTTTAAATGTTGGCACAAGAGGACTGTCCCATGATGATCTCCTCTCCCCTACTGTGTTCTAAGTCAGTCCCTCTCATTAGTGTGAAGGCACGTGGTGATCAGCTCTGGGGGGCATTTGTGTGACTCTAAAAAACTCCTCATGACATGCCTTCAGTCAAGATTCTCCTCAGCCATTTTGGGTCTCTCTCCTGTGTTACTTTCTCTTTTTTTTTTCTGTAGCATTTATTCGCACTTGACCCTATGTTTTAGAAAGTGCCTACAAGTCAGTATTCCAGACATCCCAGGGACTTGAAGAGCTGATCTAATGCCCGTGTTGCAAGATGAAAAACAAGAATTTTGTTGAACCTATAAAAAGGATGACATTTCCCTGGCCCTGAGCTGTTCTCTTCAAAATTGAAGCTTTTGCAGCTCCGGGCTCTTTGATTTGTGAGCTGAAGAGCATCATATCTTGGCCATTACTGAATCATAAAAGTTCTCTGCCTCTTCCCAGCTCATTTTATTTAAAGGGAAAAAGAGGATGCTTCATCTTATAAAATGCATTTTCTTTTTATTCTCCTTCATTTTGTGCATCGCAGGAATCGATTCTGCAAGGGTTTGGTGGAAACACATGCAGATGGTCATTTGAAAAGACCTCTCAGCTGATGCGAGGAGGTCATTCTGGTGCCGAGATTGGAATAGGTGTCATGAGAATAGAGTGTTCTGCAGCACTCTTTCAGCCAAATCACCTTGTGAAAGGCCAGAACCTTGTACAAATTATTTATTCTCATCATCCATAAAAGAGTAATACAGAGGCACATAGCACATCCAGGTCAGGGGCTGGCTTAACCACCAAGTACTGACTGATGACGGGTGGAAGGAGTTGAGGATGAAGAAGGTAATGCCATTAAAATTCCCTGTGCATTCAAACACTTTGAACAAGAGAGGGACCCGTGCAGCATTTTCAGCAGCATTCCGAGTTGTGATTTCTTCGCTAGACCAGATTATCTTTTAATGAAACCCTACCCACTGCTTAATTATTCCTCTACTCAACAAACATGTTTAGTGATTTTCAATGTCAGTTACTCTTCTAGGCACTGAAAAATCAATAACACAGTCACCCTGTTCCTTGAGGAGCCCTCGATCTATTTATAAACCCAGTATATCAAAATAACACATCCTACCTAAAGACCCATTCTAGGCATGTACCCACGTTCACTACATAATTTCAGATGAGAAGACTATCAGGGCCTCACACCCAGAAAAAGGATAAAGAAAACAGATGTGTCAAAGAGTTAATTTTTTATTTTCTTTTTTATTATTATTTCGTTATACATTTTTTCTCTGCTCCCCTCTTTCCCTCCCTCCCCTCTCAGCTTATAACCTCTCCTGTGACCCCCATGCTCCCAATTTACTCAGGAGATCTTGTCTTTTTCTCTTTCCTGTTTAGATCTATCCATGTCTCTCCTAGGGTCCTCTTTGTTGTTTAGGTTTTTCAAAGAGTTAATTTTTAAAAACAGCATTTCCTGGGTTTTATGAAGTTTGTTATATTTGAAGGTTTATTAAATCTCTAAAGTATGGCAAATTATTTACTCATTCTAAGTAAATATTTACTTCTATGCATAATTTTATAATCTTGTATGAGAGACATGCCCCTAAATGCGGAGCTCAAGGCCCTGAGCTCAGGTATTCTGATGCAGGCAGCACCTGTATGATACACACAATCTCATAACACAGAGCCAGGCTTAGAGGGTGCACAGCACATGGAACTTTATATTATACTGCAATTTTTCCTAGTTCTTTCTTCATTGTTCCCTCTGCCAAGAACAAATATTTTCCACAGAATCACATCTATTATAAACATCATCTTTGGGGGGGGGTGCAATTGGACATTTGTGTGCATGCAGGTGAATGTGGAGACTAGAAACTAATGTTAAGTGTTTTCCTCAACTAACATCTTAATTGTATTTTTTGAGTCAGAGTCTCTACTGATCTATAAGTTCACTGGAAGGCCAGCAAGCCCCAGGAATTCATTTGTTTCTGGTTCTCCAGCTATGGAGTTATAGGCAAGTTCTGTCAAACCCAGCTTCCTCCATGATTTCTGCAGATCCTAATTTAGGACCAAGGATAGTGCTACGAGTAATATACTGACAGATTCATCACCCCAGCCCTCAATTTCATTTCTAAGAACTGCTGTCATACATAACAAAATCTAATCTTTTTGGGAGTGCTATATAAAGCTATCGCTTTATTTAATTTTTGTCTAAGATGTACCAGGACATGTGTGAAGAATGAATACTTTTAGAAACTAACTGTTTGGTCTGGTGAAGTGCCTCACACGGCTGTTCTCCAGAGGACCTGGGTTCAACAGCCAGTACCCACATTGCAGGCTAGAAAAACCTCATGGATTTCCAACTCCTAAGAACCCAGTAACCTCTTACGGTCACCATGAGCACAAGGCAAGCATGTGGTAACAGAATAAACACAAGAAAACACCCATATACATAAAATAAAATAGTAACAAAATCTTTAAAGTAACTAAGTTGTAAAATCTGAAGGCATTGATAAGTTGAAGGCATATTAAGTGGATTGAAATAATATTACATATAAACATTGATCATTTATTATTACATTTTGAAATACTTTTAGAACACAGGAAATAAATTATATTGAAATAACCACTTCTTCAGTTTGGTGGGAAAATTCCACAGGAGGATTTAAATATACTCTGTGGAATGACGTGCTTTAAAATATCATCTCCCTTCTCTCTTCTCTCTTTCTCTGTCTCTCTCTCCCCATTTCTTATAAGTTAACTAGAGAATTTCTCAGGGTCTCTGGGTACTTACTTAGAAGAGGGAAAAAACATATTTTTAATTTGCTTCAAAAATCCTAAATATGGTGACCAGACCCAGTGCAGCCAAGTCAGAAGGAAGATAGCCATCTGTTAGCTGTAGGCAGCCCTGGAGAGCTTTGAATCAGAGCCAGCCCAGAGATTGAGGACAAGCTTCAAGGACGGACTTTTGACTTCAAGTTAATCATTTGGATCTGGGTGATAAGGAAAAATGAAGGACTAGCGACCAAAATACAGACCAGCCTTGGAAGCATTTATTCCTCCAAACTATGCTTCAGAATTGCCCACCTGTGAAGAGGTTCGTAATCGGGTTAATGTTAACACAGCTTTTACGCTTAATAATCATGTGTGAATGCTGGGATTTGATGAATTTGCCAAGAACCTAAAAAGCTGAAGTGGTAGAATATAAAAATGTAATAGTGCAAAACCCTGGCTGCAGAGCCTTGCTGTCTGCATTCACACCCTTAATGCCTAGGCCAGTGACCTTTGACGAGCTCTTGAACCTCCATAAGACTTAGTTAGGTAACTAACTATCTTGGCCATTCAGTTGGTGTTGTTGGGTTTGTTGACTTTCTTACCTTTATTTTTGTTCTGGTACCACAGACCCACTTTATGGAATGCTTCCAAGTCAGTGCCTAAAAGAAAAATTGAAACATCTTCAACATTGCGCCCTGGATAAACGTAAAGAATGCGATTGGTGTTTGTTTAGTTTTTGGCTTAATGATGATGGTGTGGGAATACAGAGGGAGAGAGTCTTGACTGTAGAGTGGGGACTGCAGACACACCCACATCCTGCTATGTTCTGCAGCCTCTTTTCAGAGACGTTAACACAGGTGAAGAGAGGATTCTTGATTACACCACAGAAAAGAATTTCTGAACAAATCGATTTGAAGCAGAGCTGAAGTTGATTAGAAAAAAAATTAACAGATGTAAGCATAGGAGTTAGTGGAGAGAGAAACACTCAGGAAAAGAAATAAGACTTAAAGTGGTCCATGTGGGCTTGTCAGAAGAAATCCAATACTTAACCTGGCAGGAGAGATACCATGATCATGGTTTTCCCAGGAGGGAGGCTTATCCATTGCACTCCAGATGTGTTGACCCCTGCAATTTCCCCAAATGTGGAAACTCAACTGCATAATTTGTGGTAGTGGGGGAGGGGTGTGCTCACACTCTTCCCTGGTTAAAAAATTGGGTGGGGAGGGGAGAAAACAGCCATGATTATATATCTTAGTGGTGGTCATATACAACATTTTAATGGTTCTCAAGTTACACCTTGAAGGGTTACTTAAAAAAAAAACTTGCATTCATTTTTATTCTCTCTCTCCCTCCCTCTCTCTTCCTCTCTCTCTAATAAATAAGATTACACCGTGGCTCAGAGGTACCTTGGAAAAGATAGTAATCTGATAAGAAAAGAAACAGGAGTCATAAGTGTTACACAGGGGTCAAGGCTTCCCTTTTATAGTGGAGTTTCTTATGAGATTTCTATAAAATTGTTGGGTTACACCTTATAGGAATTTACTCTACATGATTCACTGCTACTTTAACATTATTTGAAACCTCTCTATATAAAAGGAATATTCTTTCTTTGCCAGCCACCTTTATAGCAAGTCTTGTTAATTATGGGAGAATTCTTGACTCTTGACTTTCAAGAGACATCAATCAGACTCTTTAACTCCTTTCCCTTCTCATATCCTATTCAGTTTTCTGTCTTTCCATCCTGCTTCACAGTGAGCAAGCCTACAAGTCACCAATTAAATTTGCAAGCATATCAAATTGATAGAGTACAATGATGACTGACATTCCCCTTTAGATAAGTAAACATGAGGGTTAATACTGATCTTTCTCCTTTCTAGTTTATAAGAAAACCCACATCTGAATTGTCGTAAAATCTCCTTCAGCCTCATTAGGCTCTGAGCCAATTCTCTGCTGCTTGAAATATGCATATTTAATCCTTGTCTGGAGCCTCCAGGATGCAGAAGTTTCCAGGACACACTACGTCAGGGCATTAATCATTCATTCCGCCTTTGGATCTGTCCAATAGCAAAAACATTCTCGACTGTCTCAGGGCATTGTACCATTTTGCTCATGCCTTCCGTGCTCCAATCTGGTCTGTGGTTTAGACAAGAGTTTCTTCTCTCCGAAACATCATAAGTTAAGCCACCTTTCAGACTATTAGCAATCCTTTTTGGTTTTTTGGTTTGTTGTTGTGGTTGTTCACTTAGTACAGCACCTTCCAAGTATTATATGTTTAATAAATACAATATTACATGGTAATTTAAAATAGAATTGTATTGGAATATTTGATTTCTTATTTATTTTCTCCTAACCCACCAATAGGTAACAGCAACAACAAAAAAGAGAAATTCAAGAAATAGTATGATTGGAAAGAAGACAAAGTTTCTTTTTTCCCAATACTAAGAAAACTCTTTGGTCAGGCATTAATAAGATCCATTTGACTGTAATCTATCAATAGCAACACAAGGAACACAAATAAAGAGTCTACAAAGAGACAAAATGAAACCTGGGCCTTAAACTTAGCAATGGGTAGGCATGGTCTAACACTAGGCCAAGCTAAAATGGCTAGAAAAGAATAAAGTTCAACATAGAATATAACCAAGAATCACATGACAGTGCTCAACACAGTTCTCCCCCCAAACTATCACTGACCTGGTGATATTCACTTTGACAGACCTGACATTTCAAGGGGAAAAATTCATGTAAAAAATTAGGGGAAAAAATCAGATAATGGTGGCTCATGCCTTTAATTCCAGCACTTGGGAGGCAGAGATAAGCAGATCTCTATGAGTTCGAGGCCAGCGTGGTCTGCAAAAGCTAGTTTCAGGACAGGCTCCAAAGTTACAGAGAAACCCTGCCTCTAAAACAAAATACTCAAACAAAAATATATGATTAAAATGAGTATTTTGTGCAGAGACATATATGCTAGTTGATATCCCAGGGGAATTTATTACAAAATATTTATGCTGATCATTTTAACTGAGAGGCCGAAAATAAGAGATACCATTGGGGGCTGAAGAGATGACTCGGTGGTTAAGAGCGCTTATTGCTCTTCTAGAGAACCCGGTTTCCCAGTACCCCAATGGCAGCTCACAACTGTCTATAATTCCAGTTCTGGGAAACCTAACACCCATGGCAAAACATCAATGTATATAAAATATTTAAAAAGAAATTAATACAAAAAGCATTAGAAAAGCTGAAATAAAGATAAAAACAAATATGTTTATTTACATGTATACAAAAAATAACCATCTTAGAAAAACCAAGAAAGCAATTTACACATTAATTATTAAAATAAGCTGTATTTTAAAAACCTAGCCAAGCTGCCAAAAATCTAGAAGCAGGAAGCATCTCTATCTATGTCCTGTTTGCACAATCCATTCAAATTTACACCATTTCATTCTCCTTTGCCCTTCAGATCTGACTGTACTAGCTAGAAAAATTCAGACTGGAGTGTTTTTGAGAACAAAATACCAAAGAAAAATAATGAAAACATAACTTCACAAAGAAGTTAAGTTAAAAAAAAAGTAATATAAAGGAAATGTGAGAAATAGATTGAAACACAGAAAAAAAGACTAAAGTAACAAGTATGAAAGCAAATCTGTTCTATTAGGAGAGGGAGACATTTGCCTGGGCAATTTGAAGCCCATTTATGAAAGAAACAAGTGGACTAAGAGCATTACAAATTCAAACTTTAAAAATTGAAAATGTAGATCCCCCTCCTCTGGGCTCCATATTCTGGTCGAAAACACCAGCTACTTTATGAGATACCAGGCTGGTCCTAGACAAATGAGGTAAAACCCACACTGTGAACACTGCCAACACTACTTAAAGCACACCAAACAGTCCCAGACTGCACCCCACCCCCTGAGCTCTTTATATCAGTCCACAAAAGAAGATTCTGCATTACCTGAAGCCAGGCAGGTTCTAGGAACCCAAGGTAAGATACTGCTTATTGTTGGCTAATACTGCCTAAAGCTGACCCAACCACTCCTACCTATACCCCCTCTCCTGAGATCCATATCCTAGCTCACAACTTAGGCATAAAACATCTGCTTTGTTGGAGTCCACACTGAAATAGGAATCCCAGAAACCAAGCAGGTACCTAGAACCCTAGAAGTCGTGCAAGTGCCTGGAACCACAGAGGCAAGGTTGGCAACCAAAAATCCTAGAGGTCTTGCGGGTCACAAAATCCCCATTGGAGACATCCTATTGGACCTGAAAACTCCCAAGTCACTAGAACCCCTGCCCACTTAAGCCAGAAGACCAGAGAGAGAAAAGAAAACAAGGAAAAAAATACCATGCCACAAACTCAGAAGTTAACACCTAGACCTATAATGATCACAAACCAAGGTGCGTAAACGACTGTATAAGAATACAATCAACAACAGAATGGGCAATATGGAATCATCAAAGCCCAGTTATCCTAAAACAGCAAGACTTGAATATTCTAGTGCAGCGGATGTACAAGGCAACAACCTTAGAAATAACTTTATAAAGAAAACAGAGATCCTAAATGAGGAAATGAAAAAGTCCCTTAAAGAAACTCAGGAAAAGACAGACAAAGAATAGGAGGAAATCAATAAGTTCCTTAAAGAATGCAAAGAAAGTCAAGGGGGTTGGGAGGACAGGTGAAGGAAACTGGTCAAGACCTGAAAATGTAACTAAAAACAATAAAGAAAACACAAATAAAAAGAATTCTAGAAATGGAAAATCTGGGTAAGTGAAGAGCAACTGCAGCACCAGCATCACCAATAGAATACAAGAGATGGAAGAAAGAAACTCAGGCACTGAAGATAAGCTAGAGGAAATAGATTCCACTGTCAGTTAAATCTAAAAAACTTCCTAACACGAAATATCAAGGAAGTATAGGGCACTATAAAAAGATGAAATTTAAGAAAAAATAAGAGAAGGAGAAGATATCAGCTCCAAGACCCAGAAGATATTCAAGAAAATCATAGAAGAAAATTTTCATAACCTGAAGAATGGCATGCCTGTGAAGGGAAAAGAAACTTGTAGAACACCGAATAGATTGGACCCGAAAAAAATCACAACACCTTATAATAACCAACACACTAATCATTCATAAAAAAAGAAAAACTACTAAAAAGCTGCAAAGGACAAAAGCTAAGTAACTGATAAAGGCATATAACTTTGAATTATACCTGACTTCTCAATAGGGACTATAAAGCAGAGAGGCTGGGACAGATGCCTTTCAGACACTAAGAGACCATGGATGTCAGTCCAGACTACTATACCTTGAAAATTTTTCAATCACCACAGATGGAGAAAACAAGATAGTTCATGATGAAATGAATTTAATTAATATCTATCCACAAATCCAGCTCAACAAAAGGTACAAGAAGAAAAACTCCATTCCAAGGAGATTAATTATACCTATGAAAACACAGTAAATAGATTGTGTCAAATAAGCAAAGACCAAGAAGGGAAACACGCACACATACACACACAAACACACACACACACACACACACACACACACACACACACACCACAACCATCAACAGCAACAACAAAATAACAGGATTCACAATCATTGATCATTAATATCTCTCAATACCAATGGACTCAACTGCCCAAAAGAAAGATAAAAAACAGCAGGTAACAGAATGGATACAATAACATGATGATCCATCCTTTTACTGCATATAAGAAACATACCTCAACTTCAAAGACAGACATTACCTCAGAGAAAAGGGTTGGAAAAAGATTTTTCCAAGCAAATGGATCTAAGAAACAAGCTAATGCAGCTATTCTAATATCTAACAAAATATACTTACAACCAAAAATAATCAAAAGAGATGGAGATGGACATTTCATACTCAACAAAGGAAAAATACACCAAGAGGACATTGCAATTCTTAGCATCTATGCCCCAAATACAAGGGCACCCACGTTTGTAAAAGAAACACTACTAAAACTTAAATCACACACCAACCGACACACATTAATTGTGGGAGACTTCAATACCCACTCTACCAAACATCATCCAAACAAAAACATGTTTTGTTGAAATAAGGGCGGCGGGGCTGCGCTTCCTAGCACCCCGGCCGCCTGCTAGCTCATGCCCGAAATAACAACACACAAATTGTATTCTTTTAAACACTGCTTGCCCATTATATCTAGCCTCTTCTCAGCTAACT